CCTTTGAATGCATTGCCACCGAGTGGAGGAGCGACTTGGCTCACTACTACAACAAGAAGTCAATCATGACGAGCAGAGACATCCAGACGGGTGAACTGGCGAAGCACGCGGTGTCGGCGGAGGGCACCAGGGCTGTGAACAACTTCACTGACTCCAAGTAGTAATACAACGAAATTGTTTATTGTTGTGCTGGTCAAAACATGCAGCCATGCATCATCATCATCCTCATCATCACAGCAAAACAGTGAACTCACACACGGTCCATTTGAAAAGCCATCGAGTGAGATTGTTGGTGTTGGTGTTGCATTTATTTTCTTTCTCGAGGTCTTTGATACGTGTGTAGGTAGTAGTACTAGTGGTGGGGCTAGTGGTGGTTCGTGATGTTGTTGTTGTTGTTGTTGTTGTAAGTGGAGTTGGAGCTGTAGTGTGTTTTGAAGAGTGGCGGGTGTAGGTTGGTAGAAAGGTAGGTAGGTAGGTAGGTAGGTGTGGTGGCTGAGTGGGTGGGTAGGTAGGTGGGTGGTTCATGGTGGGTTGTTAGAAGCGGTGTGAGGATGTGGGTAGGGGCTCGCGGGAAAATAACCGAAGAGACGTGAAGGTCTTTTGGCCGCAACCGCCCATGGGAGTGTGAGTAGGTAGGTATTGGGTAGGCTGCAGAAGCGTGTAGTCATTTGACATTCATGGGGATGTGATGTCCACTCGGAGATGCTGACACAAGGTGGTGGCAGATAACTTCTGGGTTTTCGGTCAGGTGGCAACTGAAGTGTCATAGAGCGCTCGAAGGTGCGGTTAATCCGATTTAGTGGCGTCCAACACCACCGCCACCAACATACAGGCCTCGAACACAATTGGTTCACTTCACTCTCGCAATCACGTTTGCACATGACTGGTTGTCGACGGGGTGCAGAATGCCTTACCCCCATGTTGGGAATAACTACGCTGGTGTATTCGAATATCTGTGTGTGTGTGCGCGTGTGAGGGTGAGGGTGAGATGTGCGGTGTCTCTTCGGTGATGTCTGCACAAGATTGCTTATTTAGGCATATTCTGTCTGGTCATCATCATGGGGTTTATTTCGGTGGACACTTGTAGCCGATGGAAGGGCATCCATAAGAGCCTCCATTACCCTCATCCGCCTCACGCGACTACACCTTCTTCTTCTTCTTCTTCTTCCACTTGTCTGTGGCCCTTAACTTCAACGCTGTCAATTGTGAGTTGCCTCTCGACAGTAATAAAGAGTGCTGCCATGTCTACTTTCGAGTATTGTATTCAATAGTACAAGTGTTTAGACTGCTGCTGATGCTGCAGCTGCTGCTGCTCAATGTTAGTGCAATGCAAGAGTTGCGTCGTAGGAAGAGGGCAGGTTGCTTCGGTAGAAAATGATTTGACGAGCCAGGGCTGGAGTGGCTGACAAGGCTAATTTCCACACAAACTGGCGGCAGCGCTAGCGTCAGCTGCAGTAGTAGCAGCAGCAGCAGCAGATACTAATGAATAAGTAAGGGACCTAGAGTGAGCACGGGGAAGGCGAATCCAATTGCCCTAATCACCAGCTTCTTCCAACTTGTAGTCTTGTGGAGCGCGTCTCAAACTAGCGCACGTTCCAATACCAATTCAAGCCCATTGTTCATATGGCTCGACGCAATAAGGCTAAATGCGTCGGCAGTCCAAACCGACCTGCCTATTCAACAATCCATCCATCCATCCACCTATCGCATTACCAAAGCACAGTTAATCCGCTTTCCTTGTAATTACTTCCAAATTTCTACCTGCTTTGCCCTTCCCCTCCCCACCACAATACCTGCCTGCCACCCCTCAATCCCCGCCTCCCATCCACACACCCCACCCTATTCTACCTTCAAACCCCACCACAGAAGAACACAAAGAAGAAGAAGAAGAAGCAGAGGTAGAAGCAGGAGTCAAAAACGCACCATCAAACAAGGCTACAGTGCATTGAGGTGTCATTCATTGACGATTGACATTAACACGCAACTCACCACACCACATCATGGCACACTACTAGACAGCACTGCACAGCCCCCTTTGAGCATTATAATTGGCTAAGCCTTAGTGATTGTTTGCTTTTGTTTATGCGACAGTGATTTAAATTCGAATCGATTTGATTGCCAGATCAAGTTACTCTCCTTTGCCATGCTTGCTTTTTCAACCTGCGAACCACCAATTACGTGCTATTGTAACAGCTAAGCGAAGCCGACATCCCAACTGCCTAGCTTTACCAACACCCCGCACCTTGGCACTCAACTTAGTCTGCCTCAAGATAGATATTGTTTACCACATCGCCTGCAAGAGACGCCGAGAACTAGGATAAGACCATATCGCGATAATGAGACCACCCCCACCAACTCATTCATCCAGCCTGCTAGTCTGACTCAATGCCCTACCCTCTTCGTGGTCCGCTGTTTTGCGCACATCGAGGCCTCGCACTGATAAGACCGCCGCAGCCACACCCCAGTCACTGCACCTTAACCCCCACTCACCCACTTATTCACCCGTCAGGCCCAATTCACAGCCCCCCTTCAGGGTGAGTTGTTTTCGATAATACGATCGCCGTCGGCCCCTATCCGCAGCCAGACAATCGCCAACTCGACAAGAATGTAGGACATGTAAACAATTGTGGTATTTTCGCTTAAAACTTTCTAAAAGTTAACCCATTTTGCTTCATTAAATTTTAAGCTACTTTTCGGCGCTTCTTATGGCTTCTTTTAACACCTATTCAAACGTGCTTTGATTCCAATTGGATCAAACATTGTTTGCCAGTAAAGTATGTGTACTTTAGGCACACTTTTTACCAATTTAGAGCCCTTTGCCCTTAGTCGTCCACTTCAAGTTGTTCGTCAGTGCCCTCTCATTCTCCTGTCGTAGCTTTCTCTACTGCGCTTGCTCCTGCTCTTTCTCTCTTAGCAACTACTCAGCGATTGGAATTGCCCTAGGCTCTGCCACTTGCTCGAGCAACAACAATTACGCTTGCAACCTTTTTATTCACTTGAATGCACAGCTCTCCTGTACTTGGTGAGAAACGCCGTAGTTGGATAACTTAATGTACGTACACCTTCCACATTTAATCCTAGGAAAAGACAATTTCCACGGTGTAGAGCATTGTTACAACTTGATGTTGTAAAGTCTGATTTTGGCATATTTTTTTATGAATATTCTAATTCCGACTGTGTAATCTTTAGCTAAGACACCACATTGTCACCAGTAAACGCATTTCATGGTGTGAGTGTGAAGAATAATGAAATTACTTCAATCATCTTTGATTCTTATATTGTTCGGACGCGACTGGAATGCAATCGCAGCCGGCGTTCAGTGCGCCGATCAATGAAAATGTGACAGCTCTTGTGACGACCACATCTTCCAAAATGGTGAAGATGGAGGAAGA